CTCTCTGACTAAGTCTCTTGCTCTCCATTATAGGTAGTTCTCTCTTAACAACCAGTCACTTAATGACTGTTTAAAGTTATGATGGAATCCCAAAAAGGTACTTACAACCCAATTTTGAAGTTCTGATGGCTGTACACATCTCTGTCGTCACATGATCTCATTTTGGATGCTTGGCAACTGGCTCATATTTATGGTAGTTTGTAGCATCCTGGAGTTACATCCATCTATTGACTTTTTTGGGGGTGGGGTCTTTTAATGACCTCGGTAATCCTTTGCATCAGGGTGGAGTCAGGGCATGAATTCATTTAACAACTGTGGCCTTTGCTTAATGACTGCTGTAAAAAAGTAGTAAAATCAGGTGTGGTCACATGGTTATAGCCCTTAACAACTCCTGTGGCTGATGATCATAATTATGGGCTCAATGATGGTTGTAAGTTGAGGACTTCTTATACCAGACAGAAACTCATGATATCATGGGCTTTCAACAACTTTTCTCTGGGAGATCAGGGTTGTTTCCTTTAGGATTAATAGGATATTCCCTGAAAAAAGCTACATTGAAATTGGTGAGGCTCAGGTCTGAGTTGAGGTGTACAAAATTCTACTGATGTTTTAGGGGTGATATTGGTGGCGGCGGGAAATCTTCTCTTGTGAAAATCACAAATTGAAAAGTGTCTTAAATGTTTCCAGGACAGAGATGTCATTAGTCAGTAGATTTGCACACATATATAGAACCAGCTTTTGCCTGCAAGTGCTGAAATCCTGTGGATCCCATCATCTGTCACAGTAGCTGAGTCATGACAATAAAACCTCCCCATTCAGGAAGTAATTTCCAGAGGACGAGCAGGGACACTTTACAATCTTTTAAGGCTGTTTTGCCTGTGCTTAGCATCCGGATCCTAATGAGCATGCTGGCTGCAGGGTATACCCTCATGGCCACCTGCGTTACTCTTCAAAAATTAATGGAGTCAACTGATGCAGCACAAATTCCATGACCAAACCTTATGCTTTCACTCAGTGTAGTGTCATTAAGCTTCAGGAACTAGGAACAAGAAAGGGAAACTAAAACAATGGTGTGCCATCATTCATTTCATTAGCCTGGCATAAATATACTTTAGATGAAGCATATGTTTCTAACTTCATGTTTTATAAACCTGGATTGTCAGTGAAAAACAAAAAAGAATAATTCTGTTGTTAATTCTGACTTACATTTGGTAAGGTCCTTTCTTCTACATAAACACATGCAAACATAGTGTAGTTGTACCAAGGGTGAAATCCCGCAGGTTCTACAGGTTCTGGAGAACTGGTAGTGGAAATTTTGAGCAGTTCGGAGAACCGGTAGTGGAAATTTTGAATAGTTCAGAGAACTGGCAAATACCACCTCTGGCTGGCCCCAGAATCGGGTGGGAATGGAGATTTTGCAATATCCTTCCCCCAGGAGTGGGGTGGGAATGGAGATTTTGCAGTTTTCTTCCCCTGCCATGCCCACCAAGCCACGCCCACAGAACCGGTAGTAAAAAAAATTGGATTTCACCACTGAGTTGTAGCATTAACAAGTGAGTCAGTTTCCTTAGATGGCAGCTGTTAAAAAGTGGGAACATACTGGTGCAGCAGGGAATTGTGGATTATTGGCCTGTTCTTTGCCTTTCCAGTTTGTCTGCTGCTTTTTAGGAGCAATTGTCCCACAATCAGTATTGAAGAAAGCATCTATGCTGAAGAAATTAAATCATCTTTGATATATAAAAACTCATTCTTTACTTCAGAGAACCAGTATTCTAGATTTGTTCTGATGCACATAGAGCTGTCATTTTACTTTGGTGAACAGACAATATATACTAAAATATTCGCTATGAGATAATATGTGACAGGATCTTCAACTAAGGCGTCTGGAAATTAGCATCTTCTCTGAATCGTGAGCATTATGGCTTCTCAGAGAGGCTCTACGATGATCCTGCTGCTATTTGAGAATTCTGAAACCTACAGTCTCAATATATATGGAGCATGACATATTGGGAAATCTCATCATACACGTTTCTAAACAGAGTTAGCTGATCTTCCAGCTTGATTATTATATGTTTTTGTCTTAAAGACAATTTGAATTCACCAGATTCCCTCCCTCCCTCCCTTCCCAAAGTGACTTAAAATGTGAGAAGTGAAAAAGAAAAAAAAGTCAAATAAAAAAAAAATAGTAAAAATAGTAAAAATACCATATCTACAGCAATAAGAGCCTGGTGGCTCAGCAGACTAATAGCCTGTTATTAACATCCAGCTGCCTGCAATTACTGCATGTTCGAATCTCCCCAGGCTCAAGGTTGACTCAGCCTTCCATCCTTTCTAAGGTAGGTGAATTGAGGACCCAGTTTGTGGGGGCAATAAGATGACTTTGTATAAATATACAAACGTACGAAGGCTATTGCTTAACGCATTGTAAGCCGCCCTGAGTCTCCGGAGAAGGGCGGCATATAAATCAAATTAAAAAAATAATAATAATAGCAATTGTAGGTTAAAAGATCTAAAACTAGAAAGAAAAAGCTTAAGCTGCAGAGGAATGACAAAAGGATCATTTTCCTGAAAGCAAGGATAAGGGAAACACCCTTGTTACCCTTGGGTAACAAGCTATTGCATTCACTAGGGTAGCCATGGAAAGTCCTGCTTCCTTATATCTAGTCTTCTTTCTTTCCAGAGGGAAGGAATTCCTAACTTTTCTATGCTAAATGTGATTAGTCAGCTTCCTTCTTGACCGCTGTTTTCTATTAAGACCTCTAAATTCTTTGATTTAAAAAGAAAATCTATTTCTGGCCCACCAGTCCTTTGCACACTGGTCTCTGGCTCTTTCATCCTTCTGCCTGACCTGTCCACCTGTCCCTAAACTGGGTCCCAGTTCCATCTTACTTTGTTTACTGAGACATAATGTTACCGAAACCCATTCTTTTTTTTTCATATTCACAATATAAATAAAAAATGAACTAGTGTCAGTCCTACTTTGCATCTAAAGCATTAACTAAAGGACAAGTGGAAGTGAGTAGACAGTAGAGTCTCTTGCTCCAATCCTTTTTTTAGGATTAAAGTCACTTTTCTCTATTCCAGGTAGGCTGGAACAATCCCATGCATATTTATTCAAAAGAAAACCCTCTACACTCTTGGCATGATTCCTAAATAAGTATACACAGAAATGAACCACTGAAGATCACATAAATTTAAAATGAAAATAAATAAAATTAGGAATGTTCTATTTTTACCCCATAAATTTCTATGAAGGAAACTCATTTGCCCTACTTTCAGTTCCTTGGGGTTCTAAAACTACCAGAGTAGAGATTTACAAATGTCTAATATAGTTAATGTTCCATAGCTCTGTCATTAGTAAGCTTCTTTGCCTTACAGCTACAAAAATAAATGTGAAATAATCCAGAATATCTAAGAAAGTAGACGATGCTTAGTTTGTCCTACTTTAACTCACTCTCTGGCTTTCCTGTTTGTGTGGCTAGTGTGTCACGTGAAGAAAAAAAAAAAAAGCAAGTACAAAAGGTATCTCATACACATGTCCTGATACCTTTCCAGGCCTGTATTGCGTGCATCCTGTTTGGCAATTTCACTTGACTATTCAGCATTGTATCATAATGAAGTATTTGTTCCCATGCATGTTCATCGACCTTTCTTGCCTCTTGGCAAATTCTAGTTCTAAACTAATTCTATTTTTTTAAAAAATGCCTTTCTTCCCACAATGTAATTATAACAAAGAAACACCAATTTGACAATCCTACATTATCAGCAATTCAATTGAAATAGAGGCCTTCAAAATATTTATACGAACTGATTTCACAGAAAACAGTTTATACATCTTTATTTATTTATGTTTACATTTCTATTCCCCTCTTCCTCCAGGGAAGCATTTTTGGTGATAGCAAGCCTGTGAAATAGGTTAAGCAAAGGCTGAGAAAGTAATTTGCTAAAAGCCAGATGGGTTGACTACTTTAGGTTTAATTACTTATTTGAGTCCAGGCCTGCTGAGTCAGCTAAATGAGCCTAGGCCCTGAACCTAACAGTCTTATGGAAGAACTTTCTTTGAATCTTCATGTGTATTACTTCAAAATAGGTATCCTTTCATTGTAAAAACAGAAACGAACAAACAAACAAAAACTAGGTGTTTATCTAGCTTGCTATCCAGTATTTTATTTCAATAATTTTGTTTTAAGATGGTCTGGTTTTAATATTTTGCCAGTACTTAAATTGGCAAATCTTGAATCTTACTTTAGAAAAACACTGGTGACCTCTTCCTGACTTTACTCCTTTCACCTTCTTGTCCCTCCTTCACCTCCCCTGAGTACCTGCTCTTACAACTTATCTACAAAGACAGTTTTAAAGACCTTTCATTTTCCAATGTGAAGACTGGGGCTGTACATGCATCTTTCTTATCCCCATTGGAAACTTGGCATGCAATTCTGTTTTGAAATATGTGCTTGACAAATATTAGATCATTTTTCTTCTGTTCGTTTTTAATGGTTTTGTCCACCTGCTGTTACATTTTATTATTTATTTTTGCTCTTGTAAACTTATCTAGGTAATTACTGATTATTCCCCATCCAGAAAAACAAAGTGCACAAACAGAAAGAAAGAATTCCCCTGCCTCTTAGAATTGTAGCCTATTCTAAACCTCATTCTCAAAATATTTCTCTGTTGATGATCCAAGGAAAGTCAGGTAAAATCTCACTTCATAACATTTCCTAACTCTTCTGTTTAAACTCAAAAAGCTACTGCTTCAAATCATTAATCAAGTTGTGAATAAGCCAATAAATAAAAATCATGGAGTCAGTTAATGAACATCAGTTTCATTCAATATACAGAAATGTTGAAAAAGCACTTAAAAGCTGCACCAATTGTCAAAACAAACCTTTGAATACTTTTACATAGTCTTTTTTCAATAACATTAGAAGCATTTTAATGGCTGTGATCTACTGAAAAAATTGTAGACTAAGATGAATTTTTTTTTTACAGTGGTCCTTTTAATAAATGTTTTGTCTTTGACATAACTACCCAGAAAACAAGTATTCAAACAGTGAAAAAGGTAGGTACTTTTTGCCCTGTTTATAACAAGTAATTTCAAGCAATAAACTATTACATGTTTTGCCATTGACACACATTACTTCAATAAAAGCAAGACTGAGTTTCCTATAAGATTAAATGAAAAACTGTTGTATCAAATATATCTCTACTGATCTTGTGCAAGGAGATTCTGATGGGAAAGCCCTCTAAATGTCTGGACTTCAACTTCTATCAACAAAGCTATGCTAAGTATTCTATACATTAAAGTTCATTTATCTAAAACCTGTCCAGGTTAGGAAAGGCAGTTATGTTGCATCTCTATATTTGGCAAGAGAACATCTGTTCAGTTTCCTTAATGTCATCTGTAATACACTTAAGAAAGTGCATTTTGCTGGAATGAAATGGTGGCAAACCAGAAAGATACAACTGTTTTCCTACTGTAACAGCTGCTGTTTGGGCCATATTGCGGTCTGCATGAAGAGGCATGGAGAACATCAATGACTTTTATTATTTGTTGTTAGTCATTACAAATGTTGAGATGGTGTTTAGTGATGGATAACAATTTTATTATGACTTGATGGGTGAGTACAAATAAGTGCAAATATGATCATCAAATTACTATTCTATTTTCCATGCTTTAGTCTAGAATGATTAACTGTACATCCTTTTTTTGAAATTTGCAAACTTTCTTCTATCAATTATATACTATTATATATCTAAGTGTGGAAACTTAAGGATAAATACCCTAGCTCTCATAAATTGCTTTTTGACATACTACATCAGATTTTTTTGGTCTATGACCGTAACAGCGAAACTATGGCACATGTGCAGTGGTGGGATTCAGCCAGTTCGCACCTATTCGGGAGAACCAGTTGTTAACTTTCTAAGCAGTTTGGAGAACCGGTTGTTGGAAGAAATCTTATTTTGTTTTTTTCCCACTTTACAGGGCTAATCCTGTAAGGAAAATTTTGTTTTAAAATATTAGGGGTGTTTTAATTTGTTTTGGGTCAAATTATTTAATGGGTTTTTATATTGTCTTTTAAATTTTGTAGTTTGTGTGTTTTATCTTTTTGGCTGTTCACCGCCCTGAGTCGTTCGGGGGTAGCATGGTATATAAATCCAAAAATAAATAAATAAATAAAAACAAATAAGGCAGGAAGGAAACATTCTGGTGTTGTTTCTAGCCTAATCTTTATTGCCCTGCTTATAGAAACTGCCTCTCTGGTTAACTGTTATTACATTGTAACAGCTACGGTGAAGTGCCCATCGACGTGAGTGACATTGAGTTGGTCACGCTCACATGGTCACATGACCACCGAGCCACGCCTAGCCATCTGGTCATTAGGGCAGAGAACTGGTTGTTAAATTATTTGAATCCCACCACTGCATGAGTGCCACAGGTGGCACGCGTAGCCATATCAGTGGGCATGCCAGCTCAGCTCTGGCGCGCATGCGTGTGCTGGCCAGCTGATTTTCGGGCCTTCTGGGTCCACCAGAAGTAGGGAAACAGGCTGTTCCTGCCTCTGGAGAGCCTGGGGTGGTAGTGGGGAAGGCCTATTCTTTTTCTCACCTGGCTCCAGATCCTCTCTATGCATCTGGGGAGGATGAAAACAGCCTTTCCCACTCCCTCAGAGGCCCTCCGAAGGCCTAAAATGGCCCATTTCCCAACTCCCGGTTGGACAGGAAGTGACGTTTTTTGCTGTCCCCAGCCTCCAGAGACTCCTAGAGCCTTCAGAGATTCCTAGAGAGGTGAGATGAGAAAGAAAAACAGGCCTACTGGGCCATCGCGTGCCAGGAGCGGGGGGGGAGGGGGGTTGTGTGCACATGCGCAGGGCAGGGCAGGGCAGGGCACATAGAATTATGGGTGTGGGCACGCGCACACGAACTTCCCCTGTCCCCCCTCTCCTGGCATGCAATGGCAAAAAGGTTAGCCATCACTGGTCTATGATATCTATGTAAGTATATATTTATAAGATTTATATGGCTGCCCATTTTATAAAACACAATTCTGGGCAGTTTACAACAACTCAACCCAAAAGAAGAAAAACCACAGAGAGCAAGCATCTGATCCACCATCTGCAATCCTTCAACTGAATTATAATCCTCAGAATTCAGCATGGCCTTATCTCAGTGCTTAAAAAGAGAAAAGCCAGCTCTTCATGACTTTCTCGGGAGCTACCAAATCCCAGGGAGAAGGCTATTCTATAGGCAAGGCCAGGGCTATTATGGAAAAACATGCTTCCTAGACCCCACTAAATGGCATCACTTAAGGGATGTGACCTGCCTCCCTTATCTAGCCTAGTGGAATTGTAGATACTCTCAGGGAGAGGCAATGCTTCATATAATCTTGCCCTGTGTCATACAGGATACTAAACAGCATGTTGAATTGCACTCAGAAAGAAATTGCTAAACAGTGCAGCTCACACAACAGCAGAGTAACATGGGTAACAGGAGGGGAGCTCAGAACTGTACAAATTGCCACATTCTGGGCCAGTTGTAATTTCCAGGTGGTCTTCAAGAGTAAATCCAAGTATCTAACACATTGCAATAAATTCTCAGCCAGGAAGTGATGAAGGTGAAAGTGATAATGAGGATTATCAAGGGTGCGTATACCTTGTGATGTATACTCACTGGAATTTTCTATTGTACCTAGGAGATAGGGGGAAAAAAAATTGAAGGAGATCTGTTGATTAGTCTAGACTGGAAGTACATATTATGCTACTTTTGCAAAAATACCATTAAGCCTTCATGATTTCAGATCCTAAACATTTCAAAAGTCTTTTAAGACTTACTTCTATTTCTTCCCAAGCTTTAGTTCCAATCAACATAAGTGTTCCGTTGGCAGTAGATTCTCAAAAACTCCAGTGGTCTGTTTTTTTTTTCCTTGCCAGTTTTGTTATACTATAAAAGTTCACAAATTTTATGATATTTAAGAACATGTATTTATGTAATTATGCTATATAAATGCAGATATTAAATGTTTCTGTTTCCTCTCCCGCTTCTTCTTATATCCTTGATTTTAAAAATTCCTAACATTAACTTGTAGGGGCCTGATGATGATTTGAAATGTTCTCACATTTGCTGACATTAAAGCAAATTCTGTAGATATCAGAGAAATATTCACTTATGAGAAAGGAAATCAAGAAAGAATGTTATGCTAGCACCGTGATGGTGAACCTATGGCACGCATGCCCAAAGTGGCACACGAAGCCATGTCGCCTGGCACATGCGGCCTTGCCTGTTTCTCTTCTGGGTTTCTGGCAAGCATGTGTGTGTGATAATCAAGTGTCCTTCAGCACGTGGCAGTGCCAAAAATGGTGTGTGCATATGCTCCGGCCAGCTGATTGTCGGGTGTGCATACGCACCAGAACCTGGAAGTTTGACTTTTCTGGAGTGTGATCCCTTTGTGCGCATGGCAGTGCTGAAAACTGGCCTGTGCATGCGTACCAGCCAGCTGATCATCGGGCGCGCATGCGTACTAGAACCTAGAAGTTCAGCTTTTCTGGAGGTCGGCCCCGATAAGCATGTGGACACACGTGTGATGTTTCCGTGTGAACTTTTTGGAATTCGGTGCCGAAAAGGTTCGCCATCACTGTCCTAGCAGATTCACCTTATGACATTTGTTTAACGATTGTTCAAAGTTACATCAATGCTGAAAAAGGGTGACTTACGATCAGCCCTCACTTATGACTGTTGCAGTATTTCCATGCTCACATAACCAAAATTGGCAACTGGAATGCATTTATGATTGTTGCAGTTTCCCAGAGCCACATGACCTCCATTTGCAATCTTCCTATGGGACTTCCGACAAGCAAAGTCATATTGACTTTACTGGGGGAAGCCAGATTCACTTAATAACCATACGATTCACTTAATGACCAAGGTGATTTTCTTAATGGTCATGGCAAAAAAATGTTATAATATTGGGCATGACTCATTTAACAACTACATCACTTAGAAGTTGTGGTTGTAAGTTGAAAACTACCTGTTCAGGGCAAAGCATATATCCAACACAAATGTCAAAAATATGTGGGAGTGATTTGATATTGCTTTCTGTGTGTGTTTGTTTTTTTGCTCATTTTATTTCTTAGTTTGGCATACTGCCCTAAAATTCATTGATGGTTTCCCAACCAAGTATTCACGAAGTCTAACTTTCTTTACCTTTTTGACATTATTCCAGGCTTGTTAGATACCGCCAACCCGCTGGGCACTGTGAGTACTATGCTGATGCTAATGAGCTATTGTGCAAAATAAAACACTTGCTATGGGTGCTTTGAGAAATGTAAAAAGCAATCAAAGGGTTTTAGTTGAATGACAACAGCAGGTAGGTAAATACTGTTGATGTTATCAACATTTGTAATTACTCAATTCAATATACAGATTTGTCAGGCAAGTAATCCTTTATTATATGACAAGCTCCATTTCATATATTTTTCTTCACCTTAGAATATAAATAAGATTTTGTTGATATATAGTCAGTTAGAGTATAGTTAGTCCACAGAGCTAGTAGCTGTATAGATCAGGGATGGGTTTTTACTACCGGTTCTGTGGGCGTGGCTTATTTTGTGGGTGTGGCTTGGTCATGTGACAGTGGGTGTGGCTTCATGGTCATGTGAATGGGTGGGCATGGCCAACTCAATGTCACTCACGTCAAGGGGTCCCTTGCCTGGCCCCTCCCCTCCCAGCCATTCCTTGTCACACACAGCCTCAACGTATCTATAGTTCTGTAAAAATGTTGTTCACCTTTTTTCAACTTTATTATCTACATACTATAGATGTACTTTCACTGAAAGGAAGAAATGGCTCACATGCTTTGCCCAAGAGTGTGATAGGCAACAGGTTTTTAAGCGGATGCCAGAAAGAATGTATAGGCAATGTATTTTCCAAAGCACCAGAAAGCAAAACAAGAAGCAATGGATGGAAACTGAACAAAGAGAGAAGTTAATTTTTCTCCTAAAACTAAGGAGAAACTTCCTGACAGTGAGAACCAATATAGGTGCAGAAATATTTCAGTCATAATTTCACATATAAAAGCCATTTGTGCATATTGTTCAAAACAGTAATTAGTATTATGGCTGATGTTTGACAGCAAGCATAAAAGTCAGAGATCACAAGAGTGCTTCTTTCTCTGTATGTATACAAAACATCACATATCAGGATGTGATATTAAGATGGACTTATGAAACCTGATGTACAAAATAAACACACACATATTTATGCTCTGGACTATAGACATTGAATGAATGTAAATCCCTGAAAAATATATGGTAGCCCTGGGCAAAAGAAAGGCAGTAAAATCATTCTAGGTGTAGGGACAGTGTAAAATAGTAACACATGATAAATAATGGAACAATTAAAAATAATAGCACAGAGTTTTTTTCTCTCTCTCTCTCCCTTTCTTCCTTTTTCTTTCTCTCTCTTTCTCTGTCTTTTTGGGGTAAGGGTGTATGTGGCTATGACAACTACTTTCAAAATTGTTACTGGATATTTCCTGTTACATGAAACTGCTAAAAGGCTTTTGCAGTCATATAATGCAACAAAACATTTTTTAATGGTAAAAATAAACTGATATATGAAGCTACTTCTAAATAACTATGTAAGAGAGGAATAAATCTTTTTCTGAAAATGACTGGCGCAAATACACATTAGAGCTGTAATGTGTGATAATATTATTTATAATAGAATTTTGGTGGAGGAAATAGAGTAGCAAGGAGATTGACACATTGAGAACTACATGAAAGGAACACGAAAGTGATAAAGTCACTGTATATGAGTTGGGTAGCTATATAAATTTGTTTAATAAATACAATGGGAAAGGTCTTTGGGGATTCCAGAATTTACATGGCACTAATTGGATTTTTGATCTCCCTTTCATTTTGAGACATAATAAACTAGTTTTACACTATAACTAAATTACACAAGAGAATGTAGTATATATACCAAAAATAATTCAATAACAATGGTTAAGTGATGTAGGGCTTGATCTAATTTCAGGCAAGTTCAAGCCTCTGTTAAGAGATACCTGCATTCTCTCTCTCTCTCCCTTACGTTTTCTTTCTCTTTCTCTCTTTGTCTCTTTCTTTCTTCTCTTTCTCTCTCTCTCTTTCTTTCTTCCTCCCTCCCTTTCTCCTTTCTCCCTTCTTGTCAAGAATCCCAGAAGGTCTTTGGTAGGAGGAAGAAAAGCCAGATGTTTTGAAACTCAGAACATGCCCATTGATCATCTGGCATTCTTAGAGCTCCACTATTGATTAGCTTAGCCTGAGCAAGGATAGCTAGCAGCTACTTAACAATAAGCTCTCAACGCAATGCTCGTGGGAATCCCCAAACAATGAGGAAAACGTTTTGTAGCTTAGCCTGAGCAAAGATAGCTAGTGCAGGACTTACAATAAGCTCTCAACTCAAGCTCAGTGCACCTGGGGATCTCCCTAAACAGTGAGGATTTCTTTGTTTCTTTCCCCCTTGAAGCCCCCACCTGCAGCCCATTTTAGCTTCCAGGGGGCTGCAGGGAGTCTTGCTAGGCACCCCCCCATTTTGACCTTAGCAAGCCTCCCTGCAGCCCCTGGGAGCCAAAATAGGGCATGGGTGGGGGGGACTCCTGTAAGGGGCAGGGAAAGTAAGGTCGTGAGCCCGGTGGGGGTGGCGCAGCATGCTCAGGGGGGGGGGTAGCACAACTTACCTATAGGCAGGAGGCAGCAGCTCAGTTGGGGCGCAGGGCAGGCACCACGTGGAAAGGAAGCTTAGGCAAGCAAGCCGCCCGGGTGGTAAGGAGGAAAAGGAAGTAACTGGGTGGGGTGGGGACCGGTTCGGGGGCGTGGCGAGCCAGCAATTAATACCAGTTCTGCGACCCTCACCAATTTATCGCTACTGGTCCTCCCGAACCGATGTGAACTGGTAGCAACCCACCACTGATATAGATGCTTTGAGGTGTTCTAGTATTAACTACACCTTTTCAATGAAACTTGTATTGATTACAGCAAATAATGTAACTGTCTGACTCAACACAGCAGTCAGTTTGAGTCAAATCTGGGCGCTGTATATAGCAAATGTCTCAAGGGGTTGTTAGTAGTTTGTGTGTTGATTGCCAGTTGCTCCCCTGGGTTTTCTTAGTTTACCAGGCAATATTAGACCTTAAACAAAGGAATCATTCTATTACTGAATGATTTTTTTTTCTAAATATAATAGATAATACAATAATTTAACTATATCATTAATGTAAAGTATACACACCATTAATGCCCATGCACCTTCAGAATGCAAGCACCAAGAGAGAGGTTAGAGAAAAGATAATTTCCATTTAGATAATTCCAAAACATGGATCAGTATCAAATAAAAACACCTGTAATTATAATGAGCTACAACTAGAATAAGATAGCAAAGTTGTGGTGGAAAGAAGTTTGCAAAATGGAAAATGTTGTTTTAATCATTTGGTTGTGTCCAATTCTTGGCAATTTAATAGCAAAGTGCTCTCCATGCTACCTGTGAAGCACAACTTCTTTCAACTATTGGATATTTAATTCTGTATAGATTTGATATTAATAAGTCATCATGTTTTTGCTTGCCTCTTCTTATTCCACTAACCATTCTTAGCATCATTGTCTTCTTCAATGAATTTGCACCCATGACATATCCAGAGTAAATCAGACATAGCTTTACAATCTTAACTTCTAGTGATGTGTCTGGTTTTATAAAAGTGGAAAATAAGCTTTCCTACATATATGTGAAAGACCAACTATCTTTCTTGGATAGTTTTATAAGGTCAAAGTATCTGGAGAATTATGTGATCTTGTTGGCAAAGAATTTTAATGAGATGTAAATACTTTGTGAATCATGATATATAGATTTGTGGTTTCCATAGTCCTGCTTCTTAATCAGTTGTGTTTGTTTACAAGAGTCTCTCTCTGTTTATCCAAGCAAAAGGAAACAGACACTTCTTTGAAGTGAACTGGTGACAGCCCTTTATATATGATCAATGTCTCTTTTTAAAATAAAAACAATGGTTGAGGGAATCAGTAATGTTTTGAGGTATTGTTCAGCACATGAAGAATGTTGGTCAGTGTTTGCAGGCACTGCATCCCTGAAACTTAGTTCAGGTCTTGTTTTTGAGGTGTTTTCAAACATAAGAAGAACTTTGAAACAGGTGTGCAGAAACAGTGATCTATGATCTTGTGAGAGAATATACAATGTGTATTCAGAACTGATGATCTGAAATGTTAATGCCTGAGGCTGATATTTTCCAGATAGTCATTAAGACTGCTTGGGCAAACAGAAAAAGAAAAAAAAAATCTAGTGAAAATCTGAAAGAAACAATAGTGCTTTTGGGTAAAATAATGCTTTTCTATGGTTCTACACCAGGATTAAGAATATAGTTTTTCAATTTACAATGCATATTTTATTACAGGCTGCAGTGGGAGAATATACAATATGAACCTAATCCTTCTTTCCTATAAGGATACTTTAATTCTGTCAAAACAAAATCAAAATGACTGACTTATTGATATTGAAGTAAGTCTCATTGAACTCATAGTGCTTGCATAATGTCTATCCAGTCTATCTATACACACATATTTATGTTTGTCTCTGTGTGTCTAAATTTTGGCCCTGCACTAGGGATTACAGGTTTGAAACTAAGATAATATCTATTTCAAAAATGAAATCTGCAGAGTCTTTCAGATGCAGAAATACAGATTACTGCCAAGTTTCTTGTTATAATCCTCCCAGGATTCCTCATTATGTTCATGTGTTGACTGTAGAAGGCAGAAATAACTATAAAACAGCTCTCCTCGAAGACTGAAAAGGTAAGAATAAAAATTCCATTCCTATTTTGTGAAGGGGATAACTCTTCATTACTTTAAATCCATTTATGATTACCCCTTTGGGTTTCAATCCCTACCAGAAGTTTTCCCCATTTTCATTGCACTAGCCTGGACAAAGTTGCTGAGGAGAAATTTATGATTTGGAATGAATTTGATTAAAAACGTAGAATGCTTGGATGAGATTCAGCTTTAAAAAAAAATACTGGGATGGGTGGAAAGGGGAAGCAAAAATCACTGACTCTCATGGAAATTAAACTGAACACTAAATTTCTGACAGGTCCTAATTATATCCTCTAAGAATCTGTAACATAATTCATGAAGTTTTCATAAGGGCCCAGAAACAATCAAATGCATCCAGATGTGCTTTTTCTTAAAGTTTCACTGTTTTTGATGAATGATTGCCATATATTCTTTGATGTATAGCTTCTGGTTTAAGGAATATGTATCCCCACATATAGCTATTTCTGAAAACAATGTCTCTGTTCTTAGTCTCCTTCAGATAATTTATACTTCAATTCCTATACAAATTTAACAATCCTAATCAGTAATTCATAATTAGTACTGATGGGTGACTTGTCCTTGACAAACGTATGCCATTTTTTTTTTGGCAATCAACATATTTAGGACAATCGCTCTTGGTCTTCTTATTAATGTTGAAGAAAAACAAAATTAAGGGTAGGCTTCACAAATAAAGTACTTTAATATGGCCCCACTGAAATCAGTATTATTAACTCAATCTCTTTGGAAATAATTTGTAGGGATTATATAAAAATGTTATTTGGTAACAACTTCCCTTTCTTTCTCCTCTTTTACACTCCTTCAGATATCTTGCTATTTTCATACTTCTTTCACTGAAAGATAGAGACATGAGAAGACTTTCCTTCTCTTTCTTAATCAATTTCCATTTGCACTTTCCACCTAAAATTTGTCCACTTTATAGAATGCTTTTTTCTTCTCCTTTAATTACTTTCTCTATTTTTTTGCCAACTATATTAGTTAACTTTGAAGGGTTATCTGAATGGTCAGTGGTAAAAGAAAACAATATTTCCAAAAAAAAAAAAACCAAGTTAGTTAGATATTGTTAAAGTGGCACTGGTTGGAGCATAAAACAACTGAGAGAAGCCATACAAGATTGGAAAATGTAAAGAGAACTGGTCTGTAGAATCACTGAGTATCAGACACGATTGAACAGGTAGCATCATTATCATCTGACTCTACCACAACTTGCAGGAGAATTACATAAAATAAGGCTGATACACAAGGGGACCCAATCCTGCCCCAGAGCACACAATCTACAGGCTGAAATTTAATTAATCTGTTTAACCCTAGAATGCCATTTGTTTGTGTGAATGAAGTCAAGATTGAATTAGCACTCTTTCTGATAGCGAGAATTGAATTAATCATCTTACCTGATCAAACCAATCAAAGAGTTACATAAATAATGCTACCAAACAATGAAGGTGGGCTTTACACGCTCTAGAAACATGTAACGTAATGCAATATTTTCTACCAAGGAAATGAAATCATGTGTGATTTTCACATATGAAGCCCATCTAGCCATTACAGTGTTAATCCACCATCAAAGGCGAAACATTCTGAGTTTTCTAAATAGTTTTGGCATTTGGCCCACATATAAATCAAACTGATTTTTTGGATGTGGTTCATGATCTCATTAAATGCAATCAAATTAACAACAACATTATTTGGATCAGACAAAATGAAGTGTGACACCAGAGCATGGGAACATTGTCTCCAAAGGCTTCATCATTTATGAAGGGAATGAAATAAATTTGTTTGATCTTTTCTAGCATAATGCTAGAAAGTTATGGAGAGCTAGAGTTAAACTGTGACCTGGTAGGAATTAGGAGATCTGGTATTGTGTTCCAAGAACTACAAGATTGTAATTATATATTCCACAGTCTAATTGCAGATCACAGATGCATATGAAAGGGTAACTAGTAACTCCCTAAACCAGAGCCAAACTAATCTGAATCTTAATTGTGACTATAGGTGGCAAAAGCAAGAATGTAAGAGATAATATTTGTTTATGAAGAGATAATTTATTTAATTAAGTTAACATGAAGCATGCAAATATAGCTTGTCACACAGATTACAAGCAATGGGCATTCATTCCATAATTAAACTGCCATAAACAAGAGATGTAAACTTAGAGCTGTACTTCCCTCATCTTAATGTAGTTTGTAGATCAACAAATTTGATCTAGTTCCAAAGCCATCCATCTGTATTAAGCTATTTCTGAATATATACTTTCGCCCAAAGCACTTCATCTGTGACTGCTTTGGCACATACTGATAATCAGTTTGGCACTACCACTATTCTCATTGGCATAATGGCTGCACTAATACATCTATTTTCTCTCTTTATTATTAACGGGTATTGTGTATAACCCAACAATCAAGTGCTGACCATAAATTAGAAAGGATTGATTCTGGCCTTGATTCTATCCTATAACCTGACTCATTTGGTGCAGAGAATTCAGTGAGATCATTTGTCCCAATTTTCTCCCTTGGGAAATTTTCCTCAGACAAAACCAGATTCAAAGTTCTGTGTATCCCTGGTAAGATTAGAGGAGTCACTCTTGCTCATTCAGCTAAGATCAGCTATAGGTTTTTCTAGACCTTAGGGAATCAAGTGGGTCCACAGGACTACTACATAAATACCATTGTGGTTCTGATAGTTTTCATCCTTCAAATGTTTATGAACTATACTTTCCAACAATAACCATGCTGGTTAAGATTGCTGTAGTTCAGCAACATCTGGAAAGAACAAAATCTGGATAGGTTCTCCATCCCTTTCCTGTTTTATAAAACTCCTCTCTAACTTGAAATTATGAAAAAAGTGATTGCTGCCTAAATCCATTCTGAAATGGTTACTTTTTCCACATGAATTACCATATAGGTTCTATTGTTGAGAAATGCATTGTAACCTTGCTTGGTTTCTCTAGCAATGACGATTAAAAGTGGAAGTAATATGTGTATATGTTGATAATCTGTGTTTAAATTCTTAAATATTGAAGTATTATCAGATAAACTAAATTTCTAATCCAATCAGTGGTCTTGTTACAACTGAATAAAATTTCTGCTGCTGTCACAGAGAAGACTTCTTAGAACATATCTTGGATTACAATTCTGTCCATTCTTGGATTAAGAATGGACAGAATTGTACTCCAATAGAACTGTAAAACATTATATTGGGAAACACTTGAGAAGATGAATTTAGGCAGAAGTGGCTCAGAACTCAAGGGATTTTTTAGGTGTAAAATCCATGACTTACAACCATTCATTTAATACCTGTTTGAAGTTACAACAATGCTAAAAAAAAGTGGCTTATGAATGGTCCCCACACTTACAACCATTGCCGAGTCCATGATCATTTGGGTCCTTGGCAACCAGAAAATATTTATGATGGTTGCAGCATCCTGGCATCATGTGATTGTACTTGGCATTCTAACTAACAAAGTAAATGGAGAAAGCCAGATTCACTTAACAACTCTGGCAAAAAAGGTTGTAAAATCAAACAAAACTCACTTCGCAACAGAAGTTCAATTTCCAATTGTGGTCATAAATTGAGGATTACCTGTAAAATTAACCCATTTACCTTCAATACTGAAATCAAATTTCATACACTCAAGTTTGGTAGAACTTCTTTACATACACCATAACTTTAGAACAAATTTTTGGGATTAAAAAAAACTTTCCATCAAAAGCAGAAGAGGTTTTAAAGTTCCCCCTCCTTCCTTTCAGCTCAGATCAATATCTCAGCTGGAACAACATAGTTACGTTTTGCTTCTATCTCAACCTATTTATTTTCTTTGTCCTCTTTGGTTCCCAGAATGCCTTGCTACATCTTCTCACCCCCTAAACCCTTTCAGAAGCTGACAGGTATAAACCTGGGAGCAGTAGAAAGAAGAAAAGGCTTCTTTCTTTTCCTCAGTGGTCACTTCAGAGACTTCACACATTTCAGATATGTTTGCAGCACAAGCTTAGAAAATGCTGGTCAAACTCAACAAGATGCTAAGTGAACAGAAACAGTTACAATTTCTGTATGGCACATACCAGGGATGAAATGCTACTGGTTCGGGCCAGTTCGTCTGAATCAGTAGTAAAAAATTCTACTGATTCTCTGAACCAGTACTAAAAGAATGTAAAAAAAAAACCTTCCCATGATCAGCTGAGCGACGCGCAAATATCGGAAATTTTTTCTTTAATTTTTAAGCATTTTTTAAAGCATTTTTTACTACCTATTCACCTGAACCAGTAGTAAAAAATGCTTTTAAAAAGTTAATAAAAAGGTCCCCAAGATAGTACACCACAGCTGATTTTCCCCCCTTGCTGTTCTACTTACCTTCCCAAATACACTCCTTTTGGTGTGTATTACGCATGCGTGCGCAGCATGCATTTGGTGCAAACTGTGCATGCGCGCATGCAGCATGCAGCATGCATGCATAGCCAGCGAACCGGTAATAAACTGATTCAGATTTCACCACTGGCACATACTTTTCTGTAAATTTGAATGCATGGTCATTATTTATGTTACAGATTGAAAATAATACAATATATACATTGACTAGGAATGCCTAAACTTTTGTGTGCAACAATAAGCATATATGGCAAGAAGATGGGTAGACACACATATACACACACACTGTCTTATGATGGAGAAAGTGAATAAGTTTTACTATTGGAATACAGGTTTTCCACTAAGGCATTCTGGGTTGAAATATATTCCAGGAGAATGTCTGCCAATCAGTGTTGGCAACAAAGCTGAAATTGATAAATAGTCTGATATGAATTTTCCAACATTTCTAAGGCTTATAATGTGGTTGTACCTCTGGGGGATATAGTTAACACATGTTTAATAGTGGTTACAGTGCACTATATAGTTTGATTGTTTGCATTTTTAGGAGTTCTATACATGCAATATCTGTCATCTCTCTCTTTCACACATTGTTTTTAAATGTC